TGTTGGGGGGAGGGGGAGGCAAAGGAGTTTGTAAGCCACTCTGAGACTCCTTTGGGTAGGGAAGGGCGGGGGTATAAATCCAATCTCCTCCTCCTCCTTGGACCTGGCAGAGAGTGTGAAACCCCACTTCTATTTATTTAGTTATTAATTTATTTCATCAGATTTCTTGACTGCCCTTCCCCATTTACACAGGCCTCAGGGCGGTTCACGACAGAACGCAATACATTTTCAAACCAATTAGAACCGTAAAACATCAATATCAACATTCAAACATAAATATTTGAAAACATTTTAAGAAGAAGATGGCATATCTAGCATTCAGTTTTGGGAGGGGGGAGGGGGAGGGTGCTGGGCGGATGTGAGGAACCGTCACTGGCCTCAAACAAAGGCCTGGCAGAACACCTCCGTCTTACATGCCCTGCGAAACCTTAATAAGTCAGACAGGGCACGGGCAAAGAGTTGCACCAGGCTGGGGCCAGAGCTGAAAAGGCCAGATGGATATCTTTGGGGCCAGGAACCACCAGAGGACTCTTATCTGCTGATCTTAATACCCTCCGGGGGACCTAGCAGAGAGGCAGTCCAGAAGGTACGTAGGTCCCTGACCATTAAGGGCTTTAAGGAAGAACCAATCAGTGAATCCTAAAAGAAATCAACCTGGACTGTTCCCTGGAAGGCCAGATAATGAAATTGAAGCTCAAATACTTTGGCCACCCAATGAGAAGGGAGCACTCAATGGAGAAGACCCTGATGCTGGGAAAGACTGAAGGTCAAAGAAGACAGGGACGGCAAAGGATGAGATGGTTAGACAGTGTCATAGATGCAACGAACATGAAGTTGAGCCAACTTCAGAGGACGGCGGAAGACAGGAGGGCCTGGCGGGATCTGGTCCATGGGGTCGCAAAGAGTCGGACTCGACTGTGCGACTGAACAACAATCAAAACCTTGACAACCACAACGGGTGTGATCACTGACCTCGAGCCAGACATCCTGGAGTGCGAAGTCAAATGAGCCTTAGAAAGCATTACTAACAACAAAGCTAGCGGAGGCGATGGTATCCCAGCTGAGCTATTCAGAGTCTTAAAAGATGCTGCTGCTAAAGTGCTGCACTCCATATGCCAGCAAATTTGGAAAATGCAACAGTGGCCACAGGATTGGAAAAGGTCAGTTTACATTCCAATCCCAAAGAAGGGCAGTGCCAAGGAATGTTCAAACTATTG